TTCTGCAGCACCACCATTCAATAAATACACAAAATTTAAGAATATATGTAAAGAGATATATACTGTGATAAATACTATTTTGGGCAAAACCTCACCATCACAGGAAGATGCTAGCAGTGATTCTAAGAATACCACATCCACTGCTGGAACTAAGTTCAGGAGCTCTTTCGGAAGATACCAAGTGGAATATTTAATGTTTCTCTTGCAGGGAAAGGGAGTGGGTATCCGTACAAAAACACATGTGGCATATCTAAGTTTCAGCACCTTAAAACATGCAATAGTCTGCAGAGTCAGCATTTACTTGTCCCAATACAGCCCCCCAAAACCCCTAAAACCAAAAATGGAAAAGCACTATTAAAGAGACAGATGAAAGGAAGCAATGCTCCCGTTCCAAATGCAATGATATTTAATGAAATACTGATAATGTGGTACAAAGAGTATTACCAGTCTTTGCAATACTAAATTCTAAATATTTCGGCTTTGTGAATCTGATACCATTAGGGAGAAAACGTTCCAGGTTTTACTGTTACATTTAGTCTGCCTATGTCACCTAACTAACAGCCAACCGATCATTATGCACAGCTGCTGAAGTGTAAATACAATAAAATATCTTGTGAGCATTTTCTTCCCTCAGTACCATGGGGACATCTGACCTCGAGCTGAGTCTCTCCTGAAAACGCCGTCCACACGTCAAACGTTCTCCCCACCCACACACGTGCTCTGCCGTCTACCCGCCCCCAAGCCGTCTGGATTACGTGCAGATTTCTGTGGTTTCACAGTGACTTCAGCATGGGTACCTTTCCAACATTCTGGGAAGAGACGCCTCTCATCCCTGCCTTGCCTTCCTTCCGAGTGACTGCAGGTCTGCATATTCCACTTTCACGTCCCAGTGGGGCACTCTTCACATAGCATTTATTTGTGAGGGCTGAAGGCACGGTGGGGTGGGAGGGACCAGCATGTCAGAACTGCGTACTGTGTGCGCCGTCCTAAAGAATGAAGAATTCTTTCTTTTTCTCAAGACATATAAGCTGTCTCAACAGTGTGCGTCTACAGTGAATACCACAACCTAAAGGCGAAGCTCATAACCAGGAGTACTGCAACGTCTTTTTTGATTCATTACTCTGTTTTTAGCAAATGTCTTGTCTCACTGATGACCCAGCAGACACCTCTAATCTCACCAGATCTGGCAGAGCTGCTTCCCTCTGCTGTCTTGCGAGGCTGGAGGGCAGGGCTCTGAGAGGTGAGCCCACTCACAGCTCCCGACGGGTGAGGCTGCTCTTCGTGATCTCTAGTGTGAGAGAGACCGCAGTCTGTCTGGGAACCAGCTCCTACATGTAGAACCTTTATTTGCTGAAGTTCCGCATACCTCGGGGACGGCTCCTGACCTGGAGCTGTGCAGTCGCATGGGTCCCTGTGCTGGAAGGGCTTCCTGCCTGACTTAATGTTCGTCACCATCTCGAAATGCTTAACAATTTCACCTTGGAATTGATGCTCTGTAAGTGAGAAGCAATGAGACTTGCAGGCTGAAGGGGAGCTGTGCAATACGCACGCCCCACTCCCCACGCAATCCCTCTGCTCCATCCTCACTCGGCCTGGTAAGCTCAGAACGCCCATGGCCCCAGGAGGAGCAGCTCAGTTGCCTAAGTTAAAAATAAGGATGTGAAGTCAGGACTGATTAAGTGGTCACTGACTGACAACCCAGAGATCTTTCCAATCAAAACTAGAACACAGTTTAAATAAAAAAGAAGACAAAAGAATTCAAATAAACATGGATGACTGCAAAAGCCCACTATATTCTTACTCCTGTTTTTTTCTGTATTTTCTAGTCACTCACATGAAAAAGGTAATACAGCAGGGAAAGAAGACACAGGGTCTCATTTCATTCATCAGCAACCTGGGGGCAGAATGTTGGTAGATGGGCTCTGTGAGGAGCATGCTTGACTGTGTCACTGTGATTGGCTTGGGGGCCACTCAAGGGATTGGTGGAACACAACTGGTGGAAAGGGGTGAGGCACACACGTGTGACTCTCTGGTGTTGTTCCCTTGCTCTGTTTCTGGCCATCATGAACTAAGCATCTTTGCTCCACCAGGCCCCTCCACCAAGAGCCAGCTGCCCATGGATGAAATTCCCTAAAACGACGAGCCAAATTAAATCTGTACTCCTTTAAATTGTGGGTGTTGGTTATTATGTTCCAACAGTGAGAAAGCTGACTAATATAGGATAACAGCAAGAAGTGACACAAAAGTTAAGCAGCAATATCATAGTACTGTAAGAACAATAAAGAATATTTGGATGCATAAGCTACAAAATACAGACTGTAATACAATGAAAATTGATTCTGCATAGGAGTTTAATATTCTCATATTTGCATTTCTAAGTGGCCCTGGACATTATAATAGTAAAATTCACATTAGCAATTTAAATTTTTAAATTTTCTTTACTTTGAAGGACATGAAATAGCAAATAAAGAAACCATGACAAGCCAAAAGAGAGACTGCAAAAAGAAAAAAGGCTTAATTTTAATACAGAAGCACACTCTTATGTGTAGGGAAAATGTCCTAACTGGTGGGTGCCTAAAACTTGAGTAATGATGAACTCCAGATTTACCATGTCTTCCTATGCATATACGCCTATGATAAAGCTTAATACGTAAAGTGGGAAGAGGAAGAGATTAATAACAACTAATAATAAAACAGGAAATTATAATAATATACAGCATTAGTATAAAAGTTACATGAATGTAGTCTTTTTCTCTCCTTCAAAAGTCCGGACAAATGTTAGTATTTCCAGACCATGCTGACCACCACTAACAGAAATCTCAGAAAGTGAGACAAGGTACACTATGGTACCTATTTTAACAACACTTCAGCACTTTCCCTGCTTTCTGAACAAGGAATCTGTGTGATCTTCTGCACCAGACTCCTCAAATTCTGTCTGTGGCCTTGTCTAGTTCATCTGGCTGCAGACAACAGACTCTGTCTGTTCTGCCTGGTCACCTTATCAGAGGCACTATTTTCTCTTTCATCCACTGACAAACAGTGACCGTGCTATGCTCACGCTTGTGCCAGATACTAAGGATATGAAAAGGAGTCTTCTTGCCCTCAAGTATATTAGGGAGACGGACAAATAAGCAAGAAAAGGTAGGTGCTCACCTTGCATAACTTTACTGAGGTCTATAAATAATACAGGTACAAACTATATCAACAATGACCACTGGTAACCTTCAGCACCCCACTCACTTCTCTCATTAAATTCCTGACAGCTTATTGGGTAGGTCTTATTACTTCTGTCTTTCAGCTGCAGAGACTGAGATTTAGAACAGCAAAAAAACTGGACCACAGTGATTTTATCATTCAGGGATGGAACCAGGAACTGAGATCACCTAAGCCTTTTTGCTACTAAGTCTGACTCATATCACTCATTCTTATCATCAGAATTGTAACCATTATATCTTTCTCATTTGTTGTTGAAGCTAATGTCTTGATTTTTAGCTTCTCAAAGGTCAAAAATGTAATTACATTTTATCAATCTCCTACTAATTCACTATTGACAACTAAAATGCGTATTCTTCAATATGTTTTTTTTTTTTTTTTTTTTTTTTTTTT